TGTCAGGTAGTTTCATGATACATTTAAATGTCTCATTGGTTCTAACAAAACTTCATGTTATTACAACAATATGTATTAAGTAAACTGATACCCCCTTACATTAACATACATCAGCATGTGAAATGAAAAGCACACTGGCAGTTAGCAGTAAGAAAAGGTGACAATTTTTAAGATTTCTATCTACTCGATCTTTGGTGGCTTCACTTACAGTACAGCACTCATGTATTTACCTGATAAAGAAAGTGTTTATGAACACTCTAGAGTCAACAAGCAAATGCTAAGTGAAATGTGTCTGTGTTACTGTTTGTATGAGGAGCATTGTACAGTTACACAACTGATCAAGAAAGTTCTGGAACACAAAAGTCAGGATCTCAAAATAATAATGTGCTACATCAAAATACAATTTACCTGAACTCATGATTTAGCAATCTTGTTTTTTTCTATGCCACCAATCAAAACAAAACAACAGAACTCTCCAGTACACATATCAGAATCCTGCAAGAGCATCACTGCACTAACCACATCTCTGAGAGGAACATTTGTTCTGTTTCAGTTATTTTTAAGAAGTTTAAAATACCAGAATGCCATTTGACCCTAACCAGAATTGGCATGGTAAAAGTGCCTATTCATATTAGAAGCTGATAGCTGGCAAAAGTACACATTGGTGCCTAATTTCAAATCAGCAATTACTGCAAGACTAAAAAAAGATATTTATTTTATCAGATGTGAAGAGTGAACAGGCTGTGTTAATGCTGCAGTTAAGTAAAGACAGCTTGAAATGTATTTCTGGCTTTACTTTTCACACAGACTGCCTTTATTTCATTAAAATGTATAGTTCATATGTAAATGTTTCATTTAGTGTTCTACAGCTAGACTGATTCTCTCATTTCTAAAGATTATGAAGTTGGGAATTATTCAGCACCCACTCCAGAATAATTTTATTCTATTAATTCCAAGATGTATGCCAGAGTGTTTAGAAGGGAATTCCAAAATGCTTAACACCCTCAAATAGTTTATGGGGGGTTATAATACATTGTTAATAATTACCTTTCTAAACTAAAATGATGGTTTAGCAATACATTCCAACACTAATATAGGCTTCTCTAATAGGGAACATTTAGTTATTTATGTGCATTACAAGCTCACCGGATGACGTACAAAACGCATATATACCATAACACAACATTAAGTCACAAATCTGAGGTTAACAATTGGTGCTTCTCTTTGTGGACATCTAGGTCTTTTACAAATGAAGTGCATTCACTCACTAACACCACACTAAGTATTAGTGATTTTTGTACAGAAGTGCTACAGAAGTCTTGTATATTAATTTGTAAAATAAGGTGATCATGTTCCATTATGATGAACAGAAGATGAGCTCTAACGTGAAACTACAGCACTCACAAATGTGAATGCACTGCAGCTCTGAGAAAGACAGAAAACATCTGCATTAACTAAGAAAGTGAACGGTCTGAAATGAATTATCAAGCCAGGGCATGATAACAGGCAAGCTTAAATAAAGAGAGAGGTGTTGACTTTATGAAAATATATATTTAATAGGCCAAGCTACAGTATGTGAATTATCTATATATTATCAGCCTTGACAGAATAAAGAAGCTACAATATATTTTCACATAATAATAACTCCACAAGAAAAAAAATACATTAGATAAACTCCAAAAAGTCAAGCTAAAATTTGCGAGCTGTGCTTCACTGCATATTTTATGTATAGTCCACCTAGATAAAAATACACAAATATAAAATAATTTGTACAATCAGTCAAATTAATAACCGATTGTACAAGAATGTGGTCACTTTAAATCAATTTATTTCAGCACAAAATGTCAGTTTGAACTTTCACACAATAGATCCTGTTTTAAATTCCAAAATTTAAATTCTACGTGAAAAATTATTTCCCCTTTTTTCCAAAATTTCTCTGAATAGTTGTCATAGAAGTTCAAAAACAATATTAGTGGATTTACCACATCAAAGCAATGAACTCCACCACTTTTAAAGCCTGTGGTATCTGAGTAACAGTAGCAAGAAAACACAGATCAGAAATTTGTGTATATAACTTTGTGCACCCCTCTCCAATGTCCCACTTCCAGAGCCTATTCATTCTCCACTCTCACTTGTCAGGGGTGAAACCAGAAACCAGGACAGCTCCATCCATGAGCACCTTTCGAGCCTGCTCAAGACTCATCTGTTGACACAGGACCTGTGACCTGTGACCTGTGACCTCTCAGCTCTCAGTTACATTCTTCAGCATGTGCTTCTCTCTCAAGCGAGGTGGTGCAATTTGCTTGTTCCTCCTGTTCACTGTGTGAATGGAGTTCAGGAAACCGGGCTGCCCTCATTGCTGTTTGGTGTTTGCATTTTTGAATCAGATTGGTTCCTTTTTATGCCAAATGCGGCAATTGCATTTCACACTTTATTATCTTGTTGTATATACTGTACATGACTGTCGCTGTAAATTCCATAAAGCATTACAGGTATTGTAAAATGTAACATAGGTCACCCTGATTAAGGCCACCTGCTAAGCATACAACAAGAACAATAATAAATTAAAACAATAAAATACTACACACAATGAGAAAACATGTTATTCCAAAGTTACCTCATTTTCCGCATGTTGGTGCATGCAAGGTGACTTCAACATAATACTCGAACATGCAGTTCCTGTCAGACCTGTATGGCACTGAGGACTAGATCAATTTGTGAAAACATTTAAAACAGAATGTTCTGAAGCAATCTGTTGTGCTTTGCAGTGTCTAACATAAACATTTCCTCATGTTGCAAAAAGCTATGAGCCATGATAGAATCTGACCTTTTCCTACCTAATTAAAATAGGTTACGTTAAAAAGCATCGTTATCACTGTGATGGGGAGAGAAGACTTAAGATTGTTCTGAGGGCCATCCGTGCCATTAGCAACAGGGTGATGGGATTCTTCAACAATGTTTGGTTGAGTTCCGTGGAAAAGAACGACTGACTTTGCATACATTTTAAATGGAGCAAATAACAAAGAGTTCAAATTGCCCGTGAGAAAAAAAAAAACATCAATTATTTGGCATACCTAACTTTCTAAAACCTTCAATTAAAAATGCACATAAAAACCCAATTTGTCATAAATACATCAGTCCCTGATAACAGCGGAATCTCCTCTGTATAGGCTCATTCCTGTATGTCGTTTTGGTACCAGAGTCTATACATCATGGTACTCCACATCGGCATTGTTCCTCAAGATGCAGCTTTCACTCCTGCGAGTCAGACCTTCCTATGAAATTTCTTCACAAATTTCACAAGCTTCTCCTTAAACAGACTTTTTCCCCCCTATGATTTCTAGCCCTTAGCCTTATTAACTTAAAGAACAAATGCACTCGGCATACCTGCAAGCTGACAGAAATGGCCGTTATTCCGCCCAGTGACAGAGATTCTCTAACCCACTCTTATGCCACAAACTCTGATGCTACCAGGGAAGCATCGCTGTACGGGTCCTATACTCAATAGTTGCATTTTTAGAGGGTTTAAACCATTTATGTTCTAAACAGTGCCGACAGGGAATATAAAGGATGCACTTCTATAATGTAAATATCTTCATGTATTTCGTATGTACATACAATTATTTTTGAAACCATAAATCATCCCATGTTTGTCATAGCCATAGCCCATAATAGTAAGATACTGATAACAACAAAAAAGCATCATTCAATGGAATCTGGGCATCACAAGTAAGCATTTCTGAATACCCTTTCTCAACACCAACAACAGCATGGGTTTTAATTTCTTCCTTTCAATGTAGCACAGAAAGCGCCCACAACTGATGACCTGCTTCTTAAAAACACTCCATGAAACACTTATTTTGATTTCTTCCACTTCGCTACAAAATAAAAATAATACATATACACAACAGCTTAAAGCAAGCTTGCATCTTTAAATTTTGAATCAACTCCTCATACCACTACCAGAAGAGTCCGCAATGCAATCATTAATTCAGATACTTATTTTTGTAAATTTGATAACCTAAAAATTAAAAACAATATAAGGAAGTCAAATAATGTAGGCCAAATAACAAACAGTAAACAATGTAAAAGGAAAAGTGTCAAGCGGTTTTTTAACATCCAATATTGAGTATACGAGGGGGCTCTGACTGTGTTTTTAACATTTTATAGAAATTTTGTGCAAAGAAAACTAAAATAAAATACTAAAGTTCACATAAAAGTCCTTTAATTTTGACTGCCAAAGAATAATGAGCATGTTTCAGAAGGCAATAACAGAGCTATTCTAATAAGTCCATGTCATATTAGCTAATATCTGTTTCTGAAAAATAGTTTATAGGAGTTTGGGGTAAAAAGTATACATTTTTCAAATCAAAGTAATAAGACCAGGCACCATGGGTCAGCCATACAGTAACTACAGAGGAAAGATTTGACATTTCAGGATGTTAAAAAAGCAGAGTTCTTGTGCTGTACATAATTAGTTTTATTGACATAACATTTCAGAAAAGGGTATCCAAAAGAGTATGCTGGTATCCAAAAAGCTTATTTTCAAAATTGCTGCCATATATCGAAAATAGAATTAACAGCTGCCAGGAAATATTCAAAATACTGATTTTTAAATATTGTTCTTTATTTTTAAAAACATTAAAATGATTAGTGTAATGAAATACATTTCTGTAAAAAATATTATATGGAAACATTTTAATTTTTATTGGGAAATATTATTCAGCTTTTTTTCCAGGAAAAACTTGTCTCACATTCCAAGACTCAAACAAAGAGTCTCTCAGCTGGGTGTTAACAGTAAAGCTTCCAAAACACACAACAGTGCTGCCTGAAAACAAGCACCAGGACTCATAAAAGAGCTGCTGTATTCCCAACGGATCCCAGCATAGCACTCTCCTATCCTGTATCCAGTCAGCAATGCCTGTTCCAAGCTGAAACAAATATAGAAACACTAAGATATAACTCAGGAGTAACTGAACACCACCTGCAGCTCCACTAACCTGCATTCTGCCTGGCAGTAGACTCCACATTGTGCTCTTGAATTCTCCACTTGATTCAAATTTTCACTGCGGTGGCCGTTTCCAGTTCAAGCTTACAGAACTTCAAGCAGTGTGTCAGTGTAAAGTACAAGAGCCAGGGCTGACTAGCACAGTGCACACAGGCCAACTCCCTTAGGGCAGTGACTTCCCTATGCCAGTCAGAGTTTGAACCTATTAGACTTTCAGAGACAAAAAAAGGCTCCTCCCCATAACTTCCAGTCCTTTGGCCTCCTCTCAAACTTCAGCTCTACGGGCTTTTGGGAAGGACTAACTGTATCATGATGATTTTGTAAGCACTTGCCACTGACCTCAAAATCAACTGTCCCATTATCTTGAGCTACCTCATTCTCAATTGAGAAAGAGATCAAACTTACAGCACCTACTGAATAATGTAACCTTGCACAGAGAAGAGCACTTAAGATGTACAAATAGATTTTAAAAAACAGACCCTAAAAAGGCTTACTGTAGTTTAACTCACTATGTTCTCTAAATAAAGAAGAACTGCTACTCGATTTTTACATTTTGGGGTTAGAATGAATCTGCATTGGTGAGTGCATTTCAAACCGCATTAACAGTAGAATGTACAAGTAAAACATTCAAAATAAACAAAATTTCCAGGTATACGCAGCACCATATCCTGCAATTCAGAACGAGGCAACAAAACTTTCGGTGATGTGAAGCAGCCCTATTACAGTACATTGTAAACAAGCAGGCTTGTCAATACATCTCTTTTAATCCAATAGAAATACTGCCCTTGACTTCGAGATGGCTTTGCCAATAAATACTACTGACTTGTTAACTTTGCAGGAAGATCGCATTGTGCATTTCTGCACAATCTGCACTTATTCGCTCGCACATCACATTACATTAGTCATTAGAGTGAGCAGGGAGCAGGAAGGGCTACTTCATGTCACAATTTGTAGAAATATTGTTCTCGCCCATGGAGAAACCAGGGGTTTGCGACAATATGGTGACTAACAGTACTTTCACAAAGTTCACGATTTTGTGCTTAATTCAACATTTGTAATTTTTTTCTACACTGTCAATGAGTTTATTTAGTTGCTGAGATTTAATAACCAGTCTGAAAAATTAGGACTACAGTTCCCTGTGAAGTTCAATTAAGCTCATCATCTGACCCAATACAAATGAAAAAACACGCATGGCCCATTCAGTATGTGTAGCAATATGTCCACAGATGAACTGTACAAAAGAATTAGGGCAGTGTTTTTTCAGGACATCACTTTGAATTGGAAATGGATGGAGTGCAGATTTACGGTACCGAACTCATCTTTTGAGATTTGGTGATTCATCTATTAGTAAACAAATAGATCACGTTACGACACATATTAATAAATAATTATTTGCATTGATAAACCACTTCTCTACCAAAGGTTCCCAAAAAGCTTCACCTATATAAGATGACTCAGTGCTACACAGTACAGTGGTTGAGACTGACAAATTCTCTCCCCAATTAAATTAAGGAAGATTGTTTAAAGAGGCCCGATTGTACAAAGTTAAAGTGGGATTTATCCAGAACACCAGGGTTAACACCTCTACTTTTACAAACTGGGTGACTCTTATATTAGTCACCAAGGGTCAGGACCCTCATTTAATGTCTTCAAACGACCACACCTCTGACAGGACAGTGTCCCTGGTTACTTTGCTGACATTGATTGATTTGGAAATTATGGTCCAGAAGAAGGATTGACCACCAACACAACTTATAGCAGTAAAGTGTTTTTTCTTGGAGATCTCTCATCCAGTACTGACCTGAACCAGCTTCCTGAGATCTGTCAGGACCATGCAGTGTTATCACTTTGGTGTCTGATACTGCAGCTGTACTTTGCACTGTAGACAGGTGAATGTAAAACATTTCCCATTGCAGACAATGGGGCCAGCTACCTTAGTCAATTCAATCTACACAGCAGACACAGTTCATAACACCTAGTTTGTAAATGCCCTCAACCGTTAATTTGTTTCTGTCTATGTTCCAACTAATAAAGATTAGAAATCATCCAGAAATGAAAGAAACAGGTTTCTGAATTCTGTACCTTCAGTGAATATCAAATTATTAGAATTTCACGATGCCTACACTAGTAAAATAATATGAATAGAATCTATAGGGGAAGCAGGGTCGAACAGCCAGCTCCAGCTGGGATAGCATTGTTTGGCATTTTGTATTTCACACTTTCTTGGGGTTTTTCTAGGGTTTACAAATGCTCTTCCATGCTTTTCCATTAAATATAAGATACTATAGCTGTTAAGACACATGTCACCTGTCACATTTAGTTTTTTTAGATCAGTTATGTTTTATTTGTTAAATTACAAGAAGACTAGAATATAATATCCACCACCCACCTCAGTGGTACTGTGCTCTAGGTTTCTACATTAGGACCCCTAAAATACGGTCAAACGGCGACACGGACCTCCCATTCCACAAGACTTTCACAGTGTTAGCAGCATAAGTCACACTAACTTTGGATTTAAACTTTTTTTAGAGGAGAATGTCTGATTTTCTGATAGGGACTGTCATACTTGACAATAGAATTTATATAAATATTATTTTTAAAATACTGTATATAAAACAACTACCACTTTACGTGACACTTTAGTGACTAAAAGTTGATAAAACAAGGATTTCATATTTTTTCCATCCAAAATAATGGTGCCCTGTGGTCAACATGCCTCAACCATGCATGACTGAGCAGACAAAGGGTAAAAAATAAAGCCCATTTTGCCCAAGGGCTGCTTTAGCTCTATATTTGCCTGTACCATCAGATCACAATGTTACAAACGAATCACTGCTCTCTTGATCTTAGATACAAGAATGGTGAACTTAGCAGGGATGACTCAGGGCTTCAAAAACTCAGGCCATAAATCATTTATTTTTCAATTTTCTGCCCTGTCCATTTCTAACTCCAGAGCCATGGAGTTCAGAACTACTTGAAGAGAATATATAATCACAGACGGATATATAATGCAACACCATTCACCTAAAGACGGTTAAATCTCTCTTTTGAGGAAACAAACCCCTAAAGAGAACGTAAGTGTTATCAGTGTCTGCATAAACCAATGTTTCTTCAAGACAATCAAATATAGAATGAACCAGGAAAGACAATTCTAAACAATTATAAAGTGTATATACAGTAACCCCATGCATTATTACTGTGAAAAAGATAGAAGTGAGTTATCATTTCATCACTGAATATAACCTGGGGCAATTTTAATAGAAGGAGACAGGAAAACAGTTTTACAATGATATACACATAGAAAAAACAATTAAGTTCAGATCAGATAAAATTCCCCACTTAGATTTTAAGGCAGATACCAAAATCACCAACAGAATAAAAACAACATATTTCTCTGCTCTCACTGTAATGAACAAACCTCAGAAGATGACAATGTAGAGACCTATAAGAAACTAAGTAACTGAAATACTCTGCTAGGATAAGTTTTATTCCATAGCTTCATTATTATTTCTTCTAGTCAAATATAGCCATGAGTCCTATAGATGCACACAAACATGTACAGTATATGTGTTTGTGTGAAGTAAACAGCACAAAGTAGTGAACCCTATCTCTCTGCCCAAAGTCTGTGACAATTTAAAGATAAACCATTACTCTGCGAACTGAAACCAGACTTTTTCTGCTGTGTTCCTAAGATAATATTACGTACCATACATATGCCTTGCTTTGACATGATTTCCCTCTTTCTGTTTTAATTTTTTCTCTCCTTTGTTTAGAATACTGTGTTCTAAATGCTCGTTACTACACTGTACATTAGAATAGAATAGTAAAGGAATAGTAATAGAACAGTAAAGAAAGCTTTTATAAGGCACACTTCCAAATCCATACTGTCCATGCTTACAATACTCTCCAAAAATACAACAGAATTTACCCTCACCTTGACTTTAAAAACTTAAGAAGAGGAAATCGAATTCTAAACAGAGAATTAAGACTCTTTACAAAGACCTTCAATATTCACATGACAAAGTTAAACACACAAAGAGGTTGGAAAGGCGTGTGCAAGCCTTAGTTCTTTATTGATCACTTTTGTTAATATTAAAGTTAATGTACCTGCCATGCCCATTAAGTAAATATGTTTAAATCTTCCTGTGACAATGCAACAATGTTCTTTAAAACCTTGGCTCATAGGAATGAAAGATATTCGTTGTTTTATATTTTCAGAATTCAGAAGAGAATATCAACAAATGGTGCAACAGCTGTCCTAATCTGACACAGAATACATGGATTTGTAAACCTTTTTGCCCCTGAGCAATACTTAAACATGATTACCTGAAACTAATTGTAAAAGATTAGAGGTACAAAACATTTTGTAAACAAAATAAGCACAATTCGAACTAAAGCTGAAGGATTTAACTGTTAAAGATCATAGGAATCCAGCTGAAAAAAGAAGCATGACTATATTTGTATGGTAGCCTGTTAAATTACTAGATTGCAATACCACTTTTTCTTCCAAGTACGGCAAAGCTTATTTGTGATGGATAAAACGGTAACTGTATATTAATTAATTAATTAATTAATTAATTTCTTTATTAATGTAGTAATTTTCTTGATTCTTTATTGATAAAAATAGCATTATGGTACAAACCAAAATGTTAACTGTACATATTAATAAAGAATATCTGAGCTTCCATAACATATACATAAATTTGACTTATTTTGCTCACGTTAGCAGTGTCAGCTAATAAACAAGGTGCTTCTGCCCCCTTGTGGATAAAGCTCTGCATAGACCCTTAAATCACAAGGGAGCAGGTGCACAAAGATTTATACCTAAGCATCTCTTGCAATAGGGAAGAACAGCTCTGCAAAAGGGCAGCATGGTAGCGCACTGGTTAGCACTGCTGCTTTGCCATGCTGGGACCCTGGGTTCAATTTCAAACTATCTGTATGGAGTTTGTATGTTCTCCCTGTGTTGGAGTGGGATTCCTCCTGGTGCTCACGTTTCCAGCACACCCAAAGACACTCTGGTAGGTTAATTGGCTTCTGGGGAAACTGGCCCTGGTGTGAGTGTGTGTGTGTCTGTCTGTGGTTGTATCTCACCCTGCACCGGTGGTTTGCTATTGCTCATTGTTTCATATGTCCGAAACACAATTT